TAATTTGTCTGTATCTCATAACGTCTTCTGAATTGAAAGGAACGAGAGAGACCATCAGCAGGTGCAGTCTGGCAAATTACGTCCACGAGACTGGCTTATTAGAATATTTTTTTATACACGTGTCTGCAACCAGTTGGTTTTATATTACTAAAAATTTTGATTCCAAACTTTTGAACAGCAATTCCAAACTTGTGTACCCCTATTGAGATGTACAGTTGAGCAGATATATCATATTGATATGGCAGGGTTAAAAAAAAACACCAAAATGGCCTCAGGTGTCCCACAGGCACATCTCTTCACATTTAAAATATATCCATGGAAAACACTAGTTAGTAGTAGCTATTACATACTGAACTGAAAGCTTGACTTACATAATGATGGATAGCATCTATGGTTAAGCAGTGATTGAAGGACTAAGAAAGTTAGATGTGGCTTGTGGTCGGTTTAAGCATGTTTAGCAATGACTTAGAGAGTGTCATGATTTTGATTTGGCCACAGTGTAATATATATACAGGGTCTTGTTACAACAGAGATGATATGAGTTTTCCCTCAGGAAGTACTGTGTTTTAAATTTTCTCCCAATATTTTGTCCTTGCTGCAGATTGTAATTCTTTTGTCATTTTATTTATTTGCACTAGATGTGGCCGTGTTGCTGGTTATAGTGGTAGATGCTGTTGGCTAAGTTGCAGTGACCTTTTAAAGTAGTGACTCTCAGAAGCTGTTAATGGATTTATTGAACGTGGACTTGGCTCTCCAGTCAGTCAGATCGTCGGAGCAGGGGTTCCTTCAAGAGCCTCATTATTTACTTCTTAATTACTCTGGCCTGGTCTCTCTCCCAGCTTTGCGCTGCTCCACACAGAACTGACCTGGGTTGATTCCACAGAGACAAGGGGGCCTCACAGGCTGATGGGCAATGATGAGAGCTGCTAGAGGAGGTGTGGTGCTTTCTCTTCTGCCTAATATTAATTTATACTGCAGTCTGCAGTACTGCCTCTGTCAGTATGGATAGTTGTGTAACCAGAGGGGTGCCGTTAAGCTCAAAATGCATCGGTGCTGATTGATAATATCCTGGTACAGTGAAGGAAGGATCCTGATTGCCACTCAAGCTTAATTCTTACAGTCGTAATTTGAATTTTATATAGACTCATAATTGGTGTATATTCAATTTTATGTACATTACAGTGAAAATGTTTTAGGCACCTGCGAAGATTATAAATCAATCAAAATTCTAATCAGTGTCCAAGTGTCCACAGTTTCACTGTGACTGTGACCCCGCATCACACATAAAACAGACATAACTCTAATTAATAGACAACAACATAAAACAACAACATTTAGTTGCTTTGTTGGAGGACGCACACTACCATGAGCCTTTGCATGTGGTCATCTGCATAGCCACGCCTCCGAGGTCTCAGGCATTTGGAATCCTCATTTGAAAGTTTAGAATCAAAATTTGTAGATTCTAAACTTTCCTTGGAGAATTGTGAATACAACTTCACAGGTTCCAGCAATTTGTAGAAAGCTGTAGAAATTAAGAAAATTTAGATGTCAGAATGATAGACAGAGCTGTAGATGACATTAAGAAAGGTGTAAAACATTCAGAATGAAGTTATAATAAATTTAACATCCATAATGCCTCATATTTAAAAGGTAACTTCACAAAATGTTAAAGTAAATACATTATAATATAATTACAGTAAATTATTTCTCATTTTACAAGTTTTTACTGTGCCCTGAAAATTAAATAATTAAATTAATCATAGCTTACAGTATCTATCAATCAATCTACACAATGCCTTATGCATTACTGGACAAAATAACAGCAGTTATTACTATGACACCTGATTCCAAACTGTTGAATAATTTGTGTTGTGTTATACAGTAATATCACTTAGATGATGTTGCAGACTATTAGATATTTTGTAGTTCTGTATCATAATTTGGAGCTGAACTTTGTTGTGCTGAAATCTATAGTTATGTAATTCCTGATTTTGGGCTAATGAATGATTTTAAATAAAAGAGCCATATACCTTATTATTGCTACTGTTTCATAAAGCTTCATTTTGAAGTGAATATTTTAAGGAGGCAAAAGTTGTGGTGGCGTGATGCTGTGTTGCACTGGTACAAGTGGATCAGACACAGCGGTGGTGCTGGAGTTTTTAAACACCTCAGGGTCACTGCTGGACCGAGAACAGTCCACCAATCAAAAATAGCCAGCCATCAGCGACCTATGGGCAGCATCCGGTGACCACTGATGAAGGACTAGAAGGACTGTGCAGCAACAAATGAGCTACCGTCTCTGACTTTACATCTACAAGGTGGACCAACAAGGTAGAAGAGTATAATAGAATAGACAGTGAGTGGACACAGTGTTTAAAAACTCCAGCAGCACTGCTGTGTCTGATCCACTTGTACCAGCGCAACACACACTAACACACCACCACCACGTCAGTGTTACTGCAGTGCTGAGAATGATCTACCATCTAAATAGTACCTGCTCCGTGGGGGTCCTGACCATTGATGAACAGGGTAATAGGGGGCATATGCATAAGCAGAGAAATAGATGGACTACAGTCGGTGATTAGTAGAACTACAAAGTGCACCTGTATGGTAAGTGGAGCTGATAAAATGGACACAGAGTGTAGATACAAGGAGATGTACTTAATGAAGTGGCTGGTTGTTATATATAATAGTCTAACACTAAACTGACTACAGTAGTTTTAGTTTTATCTTTGTTTTGATATGATTTCAATTTGTCTGTGATTGAATTTAATTCACATTTATTGGTCACTGGTAAGATCCTGTATGGTTTGGCTTGTCATCTTCTAACTGTGTTTTATTAAACAGAAAACAACTGAAAATAGGTCCACTAGATCAGTGACCAGAGGAAATGTTGTGATACCTGTGAGGAAGACATCTTTTGGACAGTCAGCTTTTTCAGCAAAAGCAGCTCACAGTGGGAATGAGCTGCCTGTGGATGTAATAGAACGCAGTGCATTTGGCCCTTTTTCAGCTAATTTAAAATCATGGCTAAAAAAACAATCAAGAATGTCATCATAGTATGTAAATCATTTTAACCGCTGGCATCATGCTTCATTTTACTCTGTATAGTGTCTTGTATTGTTGTATGTATCATTAATGTTTTAGGTATTTTTATGTAAATGTGTATGTAAATTCTTGTCCTTTTGTACTTGCCCAGGGACTACAGTTAAAAATTATTTGCACACACACACAGAAATGCCTGGGCTTTTTATCTGTAGTTGCTTATAAACTCTAGGGGTTGTGATTTTTGTGGCTTATTTTGTTATTGAAGATTGTGAATCAAATTTTGAACTCAAAAATCAACTCAAAAATCGCATCAAGCCAAAAATATGTGTATTGTTACACCCCTGACATCAAATATGATCGTCAATTCTCCAAGTTTCCTAAACTCAAATAAACAGCATATTCCCATTCTCATTCATTTTTTTCATCATCAGTCTCATAAAAAGTTTATGATGAATGGAGATTGTTTTTTCCTTCCTCTTGAATGCAAAGTGCAGATGCTAGAGGCCATTACTATAGTACTGCAGAACGGATGCAGTTTCCCAGTCAAGTGCATTTTTCTTAAAGCTGCAGCTTTTTCGAGTGAGTGAATCAAATCTTGAACTCAGAATCAAAAATCGCATCAAGCCAGAAATATGTGTATTGTTACACAGTGTTGTTGGTTTCTTGTAATTTTAGTTTTTCTTACTTTTCATGTGTTTTGTACACTTAATTTCTTCATTTTTGCAAAGATGCACTGTTGATGATTTTTTATGGCTGAATTCTTAATAGAAAAATTGGCTGATGTCTGATTTTTATTAGACATAGATTTAATTACCAGTGTGGGCTAAATTAACACCTGAAACACACTAAGACATTAACAGTACTTTCTCTTAACCAGAGTTATCATATAAATACCTTTATTTGCCCTTTTATAGGCCAAACTGGCATTTTAAATGTTTAAATGAAAGATTTACCAATAAGAGGCAGCTGGCTATGAAGCACAATGAATGACATTAATAATTTTGTGGTTAACCTTAGTTCATTCGTACATCCATAATTATTCATGCACCAAAACAACTACTAATAGTTTTGTAGTTGAGTAGATTTTTGGAACTAAGCACATTCTCCTCTGTTGTCCCGACTGATCCACCCCCTCAAATTCCACATTTGCAGTTTTAGTTTTTCAAAAACATTGTTTGAAGACAAAAAAGTGGATGCTAATCTAGGCACAAGATCAAACATTTCTTTTGTATTCTTTTTGCTACTTAAGTAACAGCACTTACTCAACCCAACTGTTATCTCATTTCGTTTCATTCCATGCTTACTCTGTGCAATTCCACAAAAAGAGAAAAAAAGAAGAGAATAGGCTAATTAAAGGGGTCATACAGCAGCTCCATGAACAATAAATGGAGGTTGTCATAGAAACAAAGACCTACGCTTTTGATTTGCTGGCTGTTTGTATTTGGCACATTATCCTGTTTTCTCTTTATCTGTTTTTCATCGTCAGTCTCATGAAAAGTTTATGATGAATGCAGATATTGTTTTTTCCTTCCTCTTGAATGCAAAGTGCAGATGCTAGACGCCATTACTATAGTATTGCAGAACAGATGCAGAATTTCTCAGTCAAGTGCATTTTTCTTAAAGCTGCAGCTTTTTCAAGTGAGTCTTAGGAAATTGTGTGGTCGGGGAGGTTTCATTCCCTTGCTGTATAGTGACCATGCCCATGCCCCTCTCCCTCTCTCTCTCTCTCTCTCTCTCTCCCCGTCTCTCTCTTTTTCTCTCTCTCTCTCTCTCTCTCTCTCTCATCACCTTCCCCACATCTCCACTTCAGCAGCACTCCACATGCCTCCCTCTCTACTCCATTTCAGAAAGTTAGCGGTTTGTTTATGGGAGTAGGACAACTCTTTGTGGCTGGCCACTCCACCATAAAAGGGTCTCATGCACATCCTTTCTCTCTTTCTTTTTGTCCCCAGAGGCTACAAAAGGATTGCCTTCTGTTTCTGCAGCTACTCTGCACCCTCAAGGATGACATGCTCGTGATGCCGGTCTGGAAGTAGGTCTCTCTGCATTTCACACGTCCTGCAGCATGTCATCATATACTTATCACATGACCTGACCTCTGCAGTCAAGCCCTTTGCTGTAGTTCACTATATATTTTAAAAAGGGATGGGACAGTGTGAGAAATAGTGACATCAGTGGCCAAATTATCATGTTATCATATTAAAATGTATTGAAAATATTTAAAAAGCACTAATACACACTTCATTAGAGATATTATATTCATAGATCTTGTATTGAACTGTTTGCATTTCTTTCTAAGATCAGCTACAATATAAATATGTATGAAATTCTCACAAGCACTGTTGTAACCACGTAAACACGTAAAAATTGTTGTCCTGGTACATACTTTGTAAGGAGACTGTAGCACTAAGCTGTTTACTTCCACTATGACTATAATAACCGGATATGGTTACGATTAGTTATTAATTTGAACTTAGAATTTTTTTCTGTTAGCCAATATTGCATTATAAGTAACGTTATTTGCTTTTTAAAGGGACACTTTAAATCCGTAAATGAAAAATCAGTCACTTTTACTTTGATTTAAATTAAGTACTACCTCAAGAGAAAGAGGAAAATGGCAACAAGTCATGCACTTTATGCTACAACATTTTGGTACAGTTGTATCAGCAGCATTCAGATACAGCACATGTGCACTTACGTGACATGTTATGTATAACATAAATTACAACAAAGATCAGCCAAAACCAAAATAATAAGTAGGGATCTCTTGTAGGGATGCTCCCATATGGGAACTGTGAGCCGATACTGATATCCAATATCTAATATTTTTCATGTACATATCTGCTGATGGTACGTTTTGTACGTAAACGTGCATAAAATGTAGAAATTGGAACTAAATCTACCTAGATTAGCATTATGTAAAAACGTAACATTTATTTCGGTAGGATTACAATTGCAGTAAAATGAATGAAATTTTTCCAGAACGCAATAAATACATCATCAAATGTTGGTTTAAAATATCAGTCATCTAAAAATCTGTCCAGTGCTGATAATTTTTAAGCAAATATCTCCCGATACTGATGATTCCGAAATCGTATCACTAATAAAATTGCTAATTGTCGGTTGCACGTTTGGGGAAACAAAATCTGATGATGCCATACATCATTAAAAGAGGTACCTGTCCCATCCCTAATACTGAGGACTCCCAGCATCTTGCCAGATTTTTGAACTTAGCGAGCATTGCTAGACAGACCCCAAAGTCAGGATGGAAGACCACCGTCTGCTGTAGAGCTCAGAGAAAGTTTAAGAGAAACCGTTCTCCATTTCGAACTCATGCTTCCTCTCACCTCTCTGTCTCTTTCTTTCGCCTGCACTGTGTTTGTGTCCCTGTAGGAAGTCAGTCGGGCTTTTATGTGAAATCCCTTTATTCCGTCTCAGAAAATGAATGTTTTGAAATGGAGTGCTTCAGTGGAGAGAGAGAGAGAAAGTGTAGAAAAACTTCATTGCAACTGTTAATGGTGAAACACAGCCTGAAGCTTTTTCCCCCTCCACAAAGAGCAGTAATTTCAGGAGCTGTGGGAGTCTGCCTGACATGCTGCTATGTTTAATTGGCTGTTTGTGGGCTTATCAAAGCTTGAGCATTGATGTGTAACCATCTGACACATAATGTTGCTGTTGTTTTTTGAGTTTTCCTTTTTCCTAAAGTGCATACCTGTGTGTAAAGTTCACTGCAATATCATGTAATATAGTACTGCAGCTGCAGTCATGGCACAAGGCAGATTCCGTTTCTCTGCTGCCTCGCCAAGGATAAAGGTGCAACGTCCTCTGGGGCTTCCTTTTCTTTAGAGAAGAGCACACGGCTTGTCTGGCTGTGCAAGATAACGAATCACAGAGTACCTGGAGTTGCAGCGCTGACTCTGAATTTCTCTTCGACCCGTTATGTGATGGGCAGGCCAGGCGTCTAACCTGCTTTGCATACTTCTCCAAGTACTGGCTCCCCTCTGCCACAAACCTCAGCATTGCCAGCTCCCCTCATTATATCCCACTGTACCTTCTCCCAAAACCTGATCCCATCTGTGACCTAAATGTTCCCCAGATTACGTCAGCGTTGTGACAGTTTTTTGTCCAGCTCACTCGCCTCTCAAGAAGAAGCTCCGTCCTGTTTGTTTTTGTGGTGTCCTGGCCAAGACGCTGCCATCTTGTTTTCTTTTTCTCGTCCTGTTGTTTGCAGATATTGGATTTAGGGTGACAATAAGCCGGAAGAAAACAAGCCCTTTTAAAATATGAATAGAGTAAGACCTAGAATGGGACTCCTCATCTATAAGGCCGCTTTAAGGCTCACCCCTGGCCAAATTAAAGGCATGCCATTATCCCTGGCAAATTACCACACAGCCTTTGTGGTGCAGCCATGGTACATTAGTGTGCCTTAAGATGTGGCCTAGCTGTGCCCATTCACCCAACAAAGAGAGGGTCCGCTGGCAGATCCTTGGCTGGTCACACAGAGGAGCCATTCAGACCAGGCCGAGGGGGCCGTACGGCTAGAGAGCCATGCCACAAGGGAGCCAAGACATACTTTCGACCTAGTTTTGGTGCACATACCTCTACAGATTCAAACCAATTAAAAAGTTTCATCAGGCAGCTGTCCAGATGACGGACGAGGCGCATCAGGATTCAGTGGCCAGGTTTTACAGAGACAGCAGTTATGTTTAAGCCTCTAGAGACAGAAAGGTGGAGTTGCTTGTTTTGGTGCTGCCTTTGTGTGGTGTATAATTAGAAGGCAGAGAAATGTTGTGGCTGAATTAAAATTACAATGTGATCTGTAGTCCAATTGCTTGATTTCGGCCAGGCACAACAAGGTGTCTCTTAACAGTGCATGCACTATTTCCATTCAGTTTAATTTTATTTGCATAGCACCTTTTACAACATTACCACAAAGCAGTTTTATAGAAATTTGGGTCTAGTGGTGAGGAAAAGCTTTCTAAGAGGCAAAACTTCAAGAAGAACTGAGACTCAAAAAGGGAAAACATACTTTTCTGGGCTGTACAGGATAATGAAATTTATGAAGCAGAGGCACTCTGATCATGTAGGAAAAATTCATGAAATAATCCACTGACCAATGGCAAAAGTCTATAAAATACCAAGAAAACTACTGATTGTGTTGGTCATATACAGAACATTAGATATTAAATCGTAGTAGGTGAGACATTCCATGGGTTGTGAATGGGCTAGGAATTAATGTAGGGGTTGGGAGTCATGAAGCTAATTGCAAATCATGATGATTGAATGTTGGAAGTTCAAGAGGGATAGAATCTTCATTAAAATCTCTAAAACATCCAAATGAGGCATTTCTTTGTGGCAAAAATGTGCACGGATGAAAGGACCTGAAGGGCCAAACAGATCCAGAGGGTAAAAGGAACCATAGCAGGACAACATGAGGGTCCTGCACCAGTATGATATTAAGCAGCTTCAGCTCAACAATGTTAAAATTCAACAAAATAGTCAGAAGAGAGGAAAATAACAAAACAAAATGGTGTGTGTGTGTGTGTGTGTGTGTGTGTGTGTGTGTATGTGCACCGCTGTGAGTTGCTCTGCAAAGTCTGAAATAATTTAAAAGTCAGAGGTGTTAGGTCATATTTACTGGGAGCTTTTGAGACCACGTCATATATCTTTGTTTATTAACTTCACATACACAGGCTCAAAAAGAAGGTCGGACTTGACGTTAGGGTCTCCATTGCAAAATCAACATTGAATTAAATGGGAGTTTTTCAGACCACATCATACCTAATTATGTATTACTGTCACACATGCAGTCTCAAAAGAAGGCCTGGCTTGATGTTAAGGTCTCAGTTGCAAAATCAAAATTATACTGATGAAGATAAGATGACAATAGTAGATAGTAGTAGAAGACAATAGTAGTAGTCACATATTCAGTTTTGACTGAGTTCTCTTTGTATACCCTTCCAACACCTCAGGGGTAAACACATCAAGGGTCAGAAGCACAACCGTTACAAAATGTTCTTCTGCATGTTGAGTACAATTCCACATTTCCATCAGAGAGGTGGAACTTACATAGTGTGGCTTTAACACAGGGTGTATATGGTAAACATAGTGCATGCAGAGACAGCAGGCCTAGTTGTAGTAGCTTAACAAAAGGGAAGAATCAGTAACTCTCATTTTAGTGTAGTTCTTAGACTATGAATGCCCATATCTGCATCCTCTTTAATAACGAGAAATCACAAGACTATTTAGAGCTTTAGGTCAGTTGTACTATTTAATAATCAGTATAGAATTTAATAATTCTATCAATAAAATAAGACAAATATGGTTCTCAATATATTTGGCCCTCGGGAGCTGCTTAGTTTCTGGTTAGTTTAGATGCTGTATTAAATAAGAATCTAGGACATGGTAATCGAGCTGAGATAAGAGTCCTCCTTCCATCCAGTCCTCTAATTTTTTTTTATGATATCTAGGGTACAACAAACAAGAGAAATGTGAGCATTCAGTCATCTGAATCTGTTCTGTAGGGTTGGAAGTTTATCATTTCAGGAGGTTTTTCAGCTGAGAACCAGGACAGACTATTATTTTCATTGTCTTTTGTAGCGTGCAGTGCATGATAAAACAATGTGAGGTCCATGGCAATTAATCAAGCTGAATGGCTTAATGGCTCGATTGCCCAGTTTAATCACAGACATATTAGTTTTGTAATAGGCTCTTTTTGATGATAATGACATGATGCAAATGATCACAGCTTTAGGAATTTTCTGTTCAATTCGATCCCATAAATCAACGGAAGGCAAGTTAATTTAGTCATCAACCTTTTGATAGGCTTGTTATTGGACACTGTCTGAAAATGCCAAGATTCATGCAGAGAATTCTTAGCGGGAAGAGCATATAAAGCATGCATGTGGAATTTTCTTTGTTTGAGCCTGTGGTGCATTTTTACTCTCTACTGTTGTTTCTTTGCCTTTATGAAGTCCCATTCCCTCCCTTGCAGTAAATAAGTAACAGGGAGTTTTAGTGTAGAGTGATGAC